CCCCCCCCCCCCCGCATCCCCCCAAAAATAATAATGCCCCCTCCCCCCCAAAAAATAATAGTAATAATACGATAATAATAATAAAACAAAATAAAAGCACTTCAAAACGAAACTCTTTCTTTGTTGATATTCTAAAGAAACTTGATGACTATACTGACATTTCCCAAATTACTTCAACCTTAAAATCATGAAAATAAAAGTTGCTTGATTCAAAATTATTTAATGAAACTGATAATAACGAACTTGTAATTATGTCAAATGTTAAAGTAAAAATTAACAAAACATTGGTGTAGAGAAATATGTTAAATGTAAGTCTCCTTGTTGTAAATTTAATAAGTATTAATTATTTCATTGTGATGCTTTAGTATCACTGTTCCGCCTAGTTGAGATCTGGTCACCCAACCAGATCTTAACCCCGACCCTCAGGGCGCCACACCGAGTTTCGGAGAGTTTAGGAGACAGGTATGTCAAAACTTCAAATTCTTGACTGGCAATCAAAGCATGAATAAAATTTCAATGAAATTAAACAACAGTGTTTATTGATGACAAGAAAACAAGCCAAAAAGTGTGACTGAAGTTTCTGAAAATCCCGTAAAAAACCCCGTTTTCTTTATGTTTGTTTTTTTAGCCGGCCATCCTTCCATCCATCCAACGAACAATCCAACCATCCATCAATCCATCGCTCCCTTTCTCCCAGAAAAATTGCTTGACATTTTCTGGAAATTTTATTTGTTAATCTGCTCCCCATTTCAGTGAATAGTGCACATGTATCTTTCCCTTGGATACCCCTTAGGTGTTCAGTTTGACCCATCGTGAGTCTGGAATCAGGGTGGCAATGAAAGAAGTTAAAATGGAGCCTCAGTATTCAAAAATGCCAGAGGTTAGTCGTTTCACAAAGATCATAAGATCGTAAGATTCTTGATTATTATAAGGTATTATACTTGGCAGCAAAAATGTTTCCTCTTAAAATTGCTGCCAGGCACAGTTATGGTATTGTGTTATGCTCTAACTTATGGTTATTATGGAACATAGTATTGACGTTGTTGTACAAAACACCACCAAGCAGAGCAACCAGCAAGGTGTTACTATAGAAGTAAAATAATAAATGAGCACTGTAATCTAGCCGAATCAAATTCTCTCTCTGCCACATGCAATGTTTTGGCAATCAATTGACTAACAATAGTGGCTTGTCAAACTGGAAAATTTATTGTCCCCTAGAACTGACGTCAAACTTTGCAGTCATCTTTTAATAGTGGGTCTTTCTAGAAGTAACCACGACTGGATGATATCCATCATCCTGCTGAGACAATAGGCAGAGGTAGCAAAGAGAAGGCGACAACGGAGACGACAACGCGCAGATCTCAAAACCGACATGATCAGAAAGGCAAAATGAGCACCAGAGGTCAGGTTCACGCTTTTGTGTTGTTCGTCTTATCTGTCATCGCATTCTCTTTGCTAATTCTGTCTATTATTTCAAGGGCTGGGTCGAAAAACATATTACAATTAATTCAATGATCAGTTCAATGTTGACATTGGTAATTTTGGACAACCTCGCCCTTTTCCCTGGCTTTGGAGTTGACGCCCCACCTCCAAAGCCAGAGAAAAGCGCCCTGGGGACGAGGTTGAATTTTGGAAAGATTTCTTCTTGTGACAGTCACGTGACTCTTACGTGGCATTGGTTTCTACGAACGGCGAATGCGGACGTCACTTGATACGCAGTTCTTGGGACTCACATGGCAGGGATATAGGACAGTTGAGTTACGTAATAGCCCAGCAAGGATCATCTAAAGAAATGCACTCTTTAGGGCTTTCTTATACAATAATGGGGTACACTACTATTTCTTTCAGGAGGTTAAGCAACTTCAAAATGAAATTGACAAGTTGAGTAGGCTTAGACATCAGAGAATTGTGCGTTTTCATGGAAGTGAACAAAAGGGAGACGTCATTTATCTATTTTTGGATTTCATGGCTGGGGTAAGAGTTTGTTAATAGCTGTTAATCCATAGGTGCCCATTGTCCTCTATTCGCAAACTCCCGAGCCATTAATGCCGTCCAGTGATGTCACTCTTTCTCCGAAAACCGAGTAGTGACATTGATTAGTTGATTGTAGAAACATTCACATAATTATGGGCAATTAAGGGAATGCATGTATATTATATTCGGCGGATCGCACGCTTGCGTAGAGTTTAAAATTTCGACAATCTTTATCGTAAACAGCAAAATGAACTTTTTCCAGTTCTTGTCTTTGAAACTATGACTTGTTCAGTTAATCTACGGATGAAGAATGAATACGGAAAGTCGGTAGGTTTTCAGTTAAAGCCTTTTGGGGTTTTCGGCAGTGCTTTTATTATAGGCCAAGGCAGTCTACTCAACCATGTGTCAAGCTAGCAAATTATCAAACCTTCTTGTAATTTCCACTGTCAAGCGTAACAATTCTATTGGTTTTTTCCTTGGCTTGCAGCCTTTTTTTTTTCAATTAAAGAAAACAGGCAAGTGCGTATTTCGTCCTTGCTTTAAGCCGCTATCGAGTTAAGGGCCTTTCTGACTTTTTGCCAACTTAAAATAGGGGAAAAAAAAGCTTACCCTTCCCCCACCCTTCCACGCAATATTTTTACGCGTTTCG